TGTTACAATCTATCAATTTTATTGTGAAGATTATAAGTCCCAAAATGAATTTTACTCGTCAAGAACTCATTAACATGGTATACAGTCTTGGTGAAGCGGATCGTAATATTTTATTGGCTCAAAGACTCTACAAATAAAAATACCCAAAGTGTTGCATTTAAAAAATTATATAAAAATGTATATAAATTGAGACCAACAACTGCGGAGGATATGAAACAAAGAATAGGCGATACATTCCATTTAATAAATGCAGATATGCTGAGTCGTGTTAGACTATCTTTTAGACGAAGACTGCATACTTGTATTGAAAAAAATGGTAATATTTTTGAACATCTGTTATAAAGAAAATTGTAAAATAGCTTTAATGTTTTGTTTTTTTTTTGTTTGTTAATGTTTTTACATTTTTCTACTAAATTACTGCTTTGCGATATGTTAGATTTTGCGTAATTTTCTCTGTAACTCAATTTTGCTCAATATTTTACATTTTCTTCCAGCAAAGAATTTCCAATTCCATACTTTTGTTTATTTTTTGTGCTAATTTTTTTTGCATAAGGCCCACTCGATTTTTATTGTTCAAAATAGAAAAATTTGTCAAAATTTAGTTAATTTAGTATAGCAACTTAGAATTTTACGCTAGACTATACAAACCTTATATTGATAGAAAGCTTGTCAAAAGATCTTTTGATTGGTACAATAATAAATAAAGGATGCCATTTGAAAAAAATGAGTTTTTGACATTTTTAATTTGTCATGTTTAAAAAATCGTAGTAGGCCCATGCCACTGAGCAGGTTGTTGAATAAACACTTAAAAGATGCGGCAAACATTCAGGAATCAAATGGCGTTACTTACTTTAACTTGTGTGCAAGGATTTAGAAAATACGAATTTTTAGACAGACCCCTGCATTTAAAAAATTCTGGTGAAAAAACGCCACAAATCAAAATTGATAACAGATAAATGAAAACAACCTCTATAAAAGTTATTTGTAATTTAGCGTAGAATCCAAAAATAAAATCAAACTGAGTAGATTCCATTTAAAAAAACATAACTTTAGTGTTTTTTTAATATTGGAACACCCTGTATATAAACCGCAATATTTTTAAAATGTGCATCAGAAACGCAGCTATAATCTAAAAAAAAAGAAAATGTCAATATCTCTTAAAATAAACAAGTTATAGAGCTTTTTCGGACCGTTGGGACAGCCTGTATATGTTTCTATAATATGTTTTTGAAATTTTTTTTTAATTTTATACCTTATTCCTGGTTCTATTATTAGTATAAATAACATAGACATATCCGCACTTATCAATAATATCCAACATCATTCTTTGATTTGTTTAGTTTTTTGAGATTTTTACTTAAAAAAATTAATTAAGGTTTGTTTTATAATTACAATTGTTTAAAAAAGTGTTATCTAAATTAAATAATTTTTAACACTCCTACACTCATGAACAAAAATAGATTTATTTCTGATTAGTATGTGTTTAAATGATATAATAATTCTTCCTTTTTATTATTTGTTGACAGTGCAGAACCACTTTACCTATAAAATAGTTAATTCCTGGAAATTTTCGAGTATTTGTGCTACAATTTGAGTTTTTTTAACTCAGGTGTTATATTAAAAAAATTTCAACAAAACTGTATTAAAAGCATTTAATTTAGTAATTTTAATTGTTTGTAGCATTTTTCATTTATTACATATTTTGTTTTAAAATAAAAAACTGATTAAAAATTTAGAAAATCATCTAAAATATACAAAAAGGATTACAAATACATAATACCAATAAGCAAAAATTTTTTTGAGATTTGCTTCAATTGTGACACAGGATGTTTTAACAATTTATTTATAAATTTGTGTTTACATTTCTGAAAAAATTGTCAATTTTGTAAGGTAAGGAACATAAAAAAATCTATCTATAAAAATTTCAAAGTTATGAAAGTTTAAATTTTGCACTTTGACTCTATTTCTGTTGGAAAAATATTTTTTTTGCTACAAGCTATTAGAAGAGGAAACAAGGAAGCTGTATCCTAAATTGTAACTCTGTTTAATGTTATTTGTGGCTTTTATTGGCAAAATTTTTGTACTTTTACTAAATATCTATAAAAACACATCAGTTTAGAAATAAAAAAATGTCAAATGTCAAAATTTTTTGCCAGATAAATTTTTTTAAACCTTTCTTCCATGTTACTGATATCTTATCTTACTTGAAATTTTTCTCTGGGGCGCGAATTTTGATACATCCTGTATTATTTCCTGTAGTGTTTTCTGGATTAGAATAGAAAACGTACTAAACGCTCTTAAAAAAGCAAAAATAACACTATTTTTGGTCTAGGTAATTATGTAGGTTTTTGACTTTTTGTAACAAAATTTTCCAAAATTCCGTTTTTACCAGAAAAGGACAAAATTAATAATTTGCTTTTGTATTTTTTTGGTTTGTTTTAGAAAAAAATTAAGATTTTAGTTGAAAACAGAAGACTTTAAAAAAGTAAAGTAACGCCATTTTCGACCACATTTTGTGTTTTTCAGCTTATTTTTTGACAAAATTTCATTCAAAAACAAACTAAATAACTTCAATTTAAATTCATTTTTTTGAATTTTTAGGCTTGTTTTGACAAGACCTTACAAATCTCTGGTTCAAAAACGAATTAAATTGAGCAAAACAAGGTAAAATAATAGACACCAATTTCAATCAAATTTATTAAATTTTTACCCAATTTTAGCAAAATTTTTTGAAAAACTTTGTATTTATTGCAAAATAGTTCGGTTTCTGGCTAAAAAACTACTAAATCGCTCCGAAAAGGCCAAAATAACGTACTTTTTGATATAATTTAGTGACTTTATGATTCTGTTTAGCAAAATCTAATGAAAAAACAAATAAAACTATTTTCTTAAATAATTCGGTAATTTTTTGAATATTTTTTAAAATATTTGGCAAAATAATTTTTGGGCCAAAAACAGTTTTTTGCTATGACGACAACAGTTATTTTTTATTTGCTATTATTATTTCCTATTTGATGTTCTAAAACGTTTACGTACTAATGTTCTTTTATGATTACCTTTTCGTATTTTTCTGAATTTTAAGAATTGTACTACGTGTCATAGGTATAGCATATAACCTAGGATGTAATGAATGTCATAACATACGCAAATATGAGTTTGAATTCCCACTAAAGCGAGGAATTAAAACATCAAAGGCTGTTATGATATTTTAACATTCGTGGTGTGTTCAAGGTTTTATCAGTTTCTGTGAATTTAAATTAAAATAATTGATGCATTTAAAAATTTGCTTTAAAACAATTGAGTTCATCGTGTTTGTATAAATAATACGTTCAGGTATCATTAAATGGACATAAAAAGTGTCAAATCTCAAAAAATAATTGTCAAAATTTATTGACAGATAGAATTTTTTAAACATTTTTTCCATGTTGCTCGTATCTTATCTCACTTGAAATTTTTTTCAAAGGCGCGAGTTCTGACACCTTCTATTTTCATATATTTTATTATTAAATTTTCGTTTTTCTAACTACTGTGGTCCTATAATGTTTACAAATTTTTGCTTTTACGATTACATTGAAGATTCACTTACCTTTCGTTTATACCATTTATAGTCAAAATCAAAAAAAAGTAGTCGTCAATGTCATTTCAAAAATTAATAAATAATAAATAATTTATAATTTCACAATAAAATTGATTTAATGATAAATTACCAAACTTCATGATGTCAAGTAATTTATTTTTGTAAATTTACACAGAAGTAATTTATCATTGACGACCACTTTTTTTAATTTGACTGTACTTCATGTATTTTGATACGTAATAAATAGTCCTATTACGATATATTTCTTAAGTTTTTTAAGTTCTTTTTGACTTTGTTTTTCAGACTCATTTAATTTTTTTAAGTTTCTCTTACTTATTTTTATTTTTACGCCCAAATATAGAAATAGAAAAGTTAAATGAAAGAACTGTTAAAAAGATGGCTTTCCTTAATCACTACGATTATTATTTTTTGTTACTATTATTTGGTTGAAGCTTGTTATAGTCATTTTAGTGAAGTGTGTAAAATGAAACCCATTTGAGTATTAAATAACATTTATTTGAGTATATTATGTGGTACTAAATTACACATTTTTACAATTTTGCCTAAGCAGTAGTGCCAATTGCACATCCTGCAATATTGCACATCGATAAAGAGATCATCAAGCGTTAGAACCGCAATTAGTAAAATTAAAACGGTCACAATAGTTTCGAATAGACCGGCACAGGCGGCCGTAAAAACGGACTGATAAAATGATGCAAGTCCCTTTCGTTCGGATAAACGGTCGGCGGCGCGGGATTGGCCACGTAGTCCGAATCGGAGGCCGAAGTACTCTCATGCAGCTTGCGCATGTGTTTCTTCAGATCAAAATTCCGACAAAAGCCTTTCCCGCAGACGCGACAAGTAAAAGGCTTCTTATCGTTGTGGGTGTGCATGTGGAAGGTCAAATTGTAGATCTGGTGGAAGGCCTTGGAGCACACTGTACACTTGTAGGCCTTTTCCCCGCTGTGAGTCAACTTGTGGTTCTTGTAGTTGCCCTTCTGGTGGAAGCCTTTCCCGCAGTACTCGCACACGAAGGGCTTGTACCCCGCGTGGATCCTTGCATGGGTGTTGAGGGTGGAGGACCGGTTGAAGGCTTTCCCGCAAGTGTGGCATTTATGGGGTTTCTCGGACGTGTGGATGATCTTATGGCGACACAAAGTGGACGCTTGGCGGAAACCCTTCCCGCAGATTTTGCACACGAAAGGCCTTGCGCCGGTATGGACTGGCATATGTCGGGTGAGGTTGTAATGGGCGTTGAAGACTTTCCCGCATTCGCCGCACTCGAAGCTCTTCTGCTTGGTAGTACTGGAGGGGGTGACGATGGAGGGTTTGGACTCGGTGCGTTTAGTCGGGGGGCAGGGTTTTGGAGGGAATTGAATTGGAGTGCTGAGACTGGTTGGAGGGTTTGTAGGGGTACTACTCTCGGATGAGTACACCGAACTTAACATTAATTGACTAGGGTGGTAATACACTAAGGGGTATTGTTGTAACAAGTCCTGTGATCGCAACATGTTTGGAACGTATTTTTTGAAAGCTGATTCGAGTGGAGTTGGATACGATGTTATATTTACAATTTTGTTACTCCTGTCTTCTTTTGATTTGTTATCAGGCTCCATTATTTTTGCTATCGAGAAGTTCAGGCTTCGCGAGGGTGGCTCCGACGATTCGGGGAGGTTGGTTGAATTTTCGGCCGCCATCTTATCTCAGTCTGCAACAAATCAAATTTTTTATTTTTAGATGTTTTTATTAAATTAAATTAAATTTGTTGTTTTACTCTTACTCCCCAAAAGAAACTTAAAAAAAAAAATTGTCAAAAAATCTCAGTGCTTGTTTTCGGATCAACTAATCAACAATGTGAAACAAATCAATGTTTTTTTAATGACATTTTTATTTCTCTGACTAAATGACGTAAAACGTTTTTATTTTTATATTTAGATTTTTATTGATAATAAGTAGTATTAGAATAAACCAATAAATATTAGTAAAGAAGATTTTAATTTTTATTGGCTTTTGTTATACAAGGTACGCTAGAACTCGCGCCCCAGAGACAAATTTCAAGTAAGATAAGATACCAGAAACATGGAAAAAACGTTTAAAAAATTCTGTCAAAAAATTTTGACATTTATTTTTTGACATTTAACATTTGACATTTGACATTTTTTATGTCTCTTTAATGATACTGATGATCTTGTATATGTTTTTTTTACAATTATTTAGTAAAAGTACGAATAAAAGCCACAAATAACATTGAACAACGTTACAATTTAGGATACAGCTTCCTTGTTTCCTTCTCTAAAAGCCTGTAGCAAGAAAACTTTTTTTTTTGAGTGAAATTTGAGTAAATTTGAATTTGAGGCGCAACTTTTAACTTCTTTAACTCTTCAAAATATATTACATTGTTTAAAAAAAATGAGTTAAAATAAGCAAAAACAACCACAGAGAAAAGTTTCTTCATATAAAAAAAAAACAGTAAAAATTTTGCAACCATTTATTTTGTTAAAATTTGAAGTGAAAATTTTTACTTTTATTAAATGTAAGTTAAGCCACTCGTTGTACAAATATTTGGAATATAATTTAAATTGCTTGAAATTATTTGGAAGTATTTGAAATTATTAAAATTATTGTTGGATTGTTTGGTATTACTGGTTAATATTGAATTTTTTTATAGAATTACTGAAATTCTTTTTGTCTTCTTATCCAAGATATTTTTAATTTGAAGTTACAGACATTATTTTAAATTAACGAAAATTAAGTTGGAATTTAAAAATTTAAGTTGGAATGACAGAAACAAATTTTGAATTAGAGGACTTGAGCTAAAAACAATAGAATTACGATGGATTAATAAAATTACTGAAATTTCGGTACAATTATTTGTGAATTACAAGAATTTTTTGAAATTACTGGAATTTTTCTTAAGATTACTGTAATTCTTTTTGGGATTACTAAAATTTTTTTACAATTATTGGAGCCTTTTTTTCAAAACACGTTAAATTTTTGAGACCTAATATTCGAATCAATTTGGAATTACAAGAATTATTTTGAACTTACAAAAATTAGTTTAAACTAATAATCAATAACTTATAATTTAAATTATAAGAAATAATTTGCAATTATAGGAACCAACAATAGCATTACGATGAATTATTGGAATTATAGGAATTTATGTGGAATTTTTTTGGAACTGGAATTAGTTGTACACATTTTTTTTGGACCCGTATTATCAGTTATCATCTCTTAAAATTTCTACGCAACTATTAAAATCACCTTGTATATACAGAGTCTCCCAATAAAAACGAGCCACCCCGAATATCTCAGAAACTAAAAAAACTTTACAAAAACGCCGAAACAGATCAATTTTGTCTTCGAGAGGGACATTTTTTGACGTAATTTTTAAAGCGCCCCCAGTAACCCCCTAATCCTTTAACTTTAAAAACTTTAATAGCACTACCCCACTTCTGGCACATCAAATGAAAGCTATTTTAGCAAGCTTTTCAAAACTTTTTACCAAAATTGAATCAGACCATCCATTCATGAGATACAGTGCGTTCTAATAGAAACGAACCAAAAAGAATTTAAAAAAAAAACTTCGAAACAGGTTAATTTCGTTTTTAAAAGTGACATTTTTGACGCAGTTTTAAACACCCTTTGGATAGGTATCTTATTAGAGCTTGATAAAGCCGAAATGTTTGCCAATTCACAAAAAAAAATTTTAAAATCTACAGCGTTGGCAAAATATTTTTTTGCAAAATTTGGGAAATACGTACATTTTTGACTTAAATATTTCTAGCATTTTTTTAGAGCTCTTTGTTTTACCATTTAAAGTATTTTATTTTATTTGCTTCTATTATACAGGGTGTTAAATGAAAGTAATCAGATTGTGCAATTTTTACACATTATAGTATAAAAAAGTTGTTCTGTAATGAAAAAGTGCTTCCGATTACTTAGTAAAACACTTGAGTTAAAAATCTTAATCCGCAACAAACGAATTTATCGATTCGGTGATTTTCCCATAAATCGAGGTGTGCGTTTGTCATAGACGATTTCATTGAATCCGCCCCTTTGCTTTAAATTCGTAAAACGCTTTGCATTTATTGAGACGTATTGAGACTTAAAAATTCATCCCCTCTTTCAATAAACATTCGAAACACACGAAGAAACGAGCCAAAGTTGATATCATTAATGTGTTTGCCTTGAGGGTTTTTGTTCCAGATTTGATTAGTTGATTAATATTCAAAATGTAAATTAAAACTGTTTTCCTTGCGAAACATAAAAGTAAATAATTTCGGAACGAAGGATCTTCAAGTGCTTGGCGGCAGGGGCCAGGGGGAATCGACTTAAACACCGGATTTAAAATTGAAATAAAACGCGTAATAGTTATTTTCAATTAAAACAAATTTATTTATTGTTAAATTTTCTCCGGCTAGGGAATTTATTTTTCTTCTATTGGTAGCACTTACTCCACGGTGTACTGATTTAAATTTAAAATAATTTTCTGACATTTGTAAAGTAATTAAGACTTTTGAGAAGAAAATTCAATTGCATTCGGTGAAAATAGATACACAAGATACGCCAGAACATATTCAAAATGTGGCAGAAGCTGCAATTCAAAATTTATTGCCAGAAAAGTTGTCCAATTTCTGAAAATTTTCTTAAAATTCGATTCATTCTGATTCGACTCTTAGATCAAAATGTGTGCAGTGAAATGGTGTTGAAATACGACGATTTAGGCCCGAAGGAATCAGTTTTCATTTATAAATCATTTAAAATAGAGTCAAGTTTAAAATAGAGAAAACCTATTTCGTACAAAAATTATGTTACTTAATTTAATTTTGGAAAATAGTTTACCAAAAAAATGTATTACATTAACAATAATTTGTTTTTTATCTTATTGATGCATAATTTTCTTTAAGAAATGATTTTTGTTAAATTGTTTGTTTATAAAACTAAAC